TGAACCATCGTGACGGCACCTAGTCTCTACGACTAGGTAAGCTTAACAATGCAAAAAATAAACAACATTTGCAGAAGAAATAACTGATAACCGAAATAGTGAAATAAAATAGCTAGGTTGATTGTGGAGGAGCAGAATGAGAAGCTGGTAGCAAATCCTACTAAAGAAGAAGTGAAAAGGGCAGTCTTTGATTTAAATGGAGATTCAGCAGGAGGACCTGATGGCTACACTGGAGCATTCTATCAAACCTGCTGGGATATAGTGGGGGATGACATATATGAAATGGTTCTTGCATTCTTCAATGGTCAGCAATTACCTAAAAGTGTGACTCACACCAACCTGGTTCTACTACCAAAGAAGAAAGAGATTAGTACATTTTCTGATCTGAGGCCTATAAACCTTAGTAATTTTGTAAACAAGATATTTTCTAGGGTCATTCATGAAAGATTCGTAGAGTTATTACCTGGTATAATTTCAGAAGAACAAGCAGGCTTTGTGAAAGGGAGGAGTATGGTAGAAAATATTCTGTTAACTCAGGAGATAATAACAGATATTAGGCTTAGAACAAGGGCGGGGCCAAATGTGGTGATCAAACTTGATATGACTAAGGCTTATGACAGGGTATCATGGCTGTTTCTAACCAAGATGCTGAGGAAATTTGGTTTTTGTGAAAGATTCATTGGGTTGATCTTTGACTTGATTGGCAATAACTGGTACTCCATATTAGTTAATGGCCAAGCCCATGGGTTCTTTAAATCTTCTAGAGGTGTTAAGCAAGGAGATCCTTTATCTCCAACATTGTTCATCATAGCAGCTGAAGCACATTCAAGGGGTCTAAATTCATTACATCTGAACCTTTATTTCTGTGGATTTGGACTTCCCAAGTGGAGTCAAAAAATTAATCATCTAGCCTATGCAGATGATACCATCATCTTTTCCTCATCAGATGCTACATCCTTGAGGTTGGTGATGGAAATCCTTCACTTATATGAAGCTGCTTCAGGTCAGTTGATAAACAGAAGTAAATCAGCTGTATATATGCACCATTCAACTGACCTGGAGGTTGTTAGAAAGGTTGAAAGGATAACAGGAATAGGGAGGCAGGATTTTCCCTTCACTTATTTGGGATGTCCTATTTTCTATGCAAGGAGGAAACTTGAATATTATCAACCTATGATATCAAAGGTGCTGGACAGGCTACAAGTATGGAAGGGGAAGATGTTATCTATTGGAGGGAGAGCTGTTCTGATTTCTAGTGTTCTGCAAAGTATGCCACTGCACTTGTTGTCTGCAGTGAATCCTCCTAATTATGTGATAAATTGGTTACACAAGATCTTTGCTCAATTCTTTTGGAGCAGTACTGTGGGAGGACATAGTAGGCATTGGGCATCATGGACTAGTTTGTGTATGCCATGTGAGGAAGGAGGGATAGGATTTAGGTCATTACATGATGTCTCCAAAGCATTTTTTTGCAAGCTCTGGTGGAATTCCAGGACTAAACCTAGTCTATAGAGCTCATTTATGTGTCAGAAATACTGCAAGAAGTTAAATGCAGTAATTGTGCCATGGAGGAGAGGTTCCCATGTATGGAGGAAAATGCTAGAATACAGAGATTTGATAGAGCATCAGATAAGGTGAGAATGCGATCATCTATGTTTTGGTATGATAACTGGACTGGTATGGCCCCCTATACTTTCTTGTTCCTCAGAACTTTGGCATAGATGAGGATATAATCAATGTGAATGATCTAGTTGACAATGGAGCTTGGGATAATGATAAGCTACTGCAAACTCTACCAGAAGATATATCCATGCACATTATAGAGAACATAAATCCTCCCTCCCAAAAAAATGTTCTGGATACTCCATTTTGGATGCTTGAAGCTAAAGGTAATTTTTCTGTGAAGATAGCATGGGAGTACTTGAGAAGGAGACAAGATCCTATCACTACAACATTATGCATCTATAGCTACGAAACTTTTGCTATAAATTTAATAAGTATAGCTAATACCTAATAATAGTCACACAAATTAGAATTCCGTGGCTATTTACAAAATTATAAAATTTCTTTGCCACGAAAATTAAGTTGGTAAAGCTAATTCCTCGTATTAGCTATACTCGCTAACAATCGTGGAAATAGCTACATAAATAGCTATAAATTTATTGTTACAAATTAAATTTTGTAGCTAATCATAAGTTTTTGCCACGCGTCAATAGTTATTGTAGCAAAAGTAACATTTTAGCTACAATAAATTATTTGAAACAAAATATTTTAGCTAAATGAATACTTTTGCTTCAAGTTTTAAAAAGTTGTGGCAGTAGTTAAATAAATAGCCACAAATTTATTGCTATAACTGAATTCCGTAGCTAATCATTAATTTTTTGCCACGAGTTGAAACTTACTATAGCTATAATAACTTTTTAGCCACAATAAAATATTTAAAATAAAATATTGTAGCTAAATGAATATCTCTGCTTCAAGTTATAAAAAGTTATGGCAGTATAGGTTAAATTAGCCACAAATTATTTGCTATAATAGAATTTCGTAGCTAATCATTAGTTTTTGCCACGAGTTAAAACTTCATATAGCAATAGTAACCTTTTAGTCACAATAAATTTTTTAAATCAAAATGTTACTAAATAAATAATTTTGTTTCAAGTTCTAAAAAGTCATGGCCATGGTTGACTTAGTAGCTACAATTATTTGTCATGCTAAAATGATACCACAAAATTGATAAGATAAATTTTATAACTCATCAGTATTTTTTTTTCCTCGAGGTAAATCTAGCCACATTAAATATTTGAACTACATTTTGTAGTCAGACAAATATTTATCTTCTAAAATAAAAATAGTTAGATAAAAGTTAAAACTATTTGTCATGACAAAATTAATAGCCACAAATTTAAAGAGACGATAAACTTACCAGTTAATTATAACTTTGGTCGTATAGTTAGGATTGTCACTGCAACAATAGTATTTTAACCACAATAAATTATATGTACAAAATTTTGTAGGTGAATATTTGTATTTCAGTGACAAAAATAGGAGTTGCTCAAACACTAAGTAATAAAAATTCAATTTTAACTATAGAAGTTAGATTTTCTCAAAATAATTGAAAATATAGTAATTATGTATAAATTGAAGTATTAATAAACTTTAAACTGTCGAACTNATTTTATATTTGGACGTTAATTATATATATTTGGTGTAAAATTCAAAATATATTAACATATATAGAGAATTTATGTATGTCTTGTACTTAACTATTTTTTATGTAACTCCTTGGGGTAATTTCTTATATATTTTAAGAATTATTTTTAATTAAGTCCTCATATATTGAAGACTTTAAGAGTTGTTTGATATATATATATATATATTAAGTCCTCATATATTGAAGACTTTAAGAGTTGTTTGATATATATATATATATAGAGAGATAGATAGATAGATAGATAGATATATATATATATATATAGATAGATAGATATATATACACACACACAACATATTTAAGTATTTTAATACCTAGAATAATTTCATATATCTAATGATTCATTTTGAAAATAAGTTCTCATACATTGTAGAACTTTGTGANGAGTAATTTCTTATATATTTAAGATTTATTTTTAATTAAGTCCTCATATATTGAAGACTTTAAGAGTTGTTTGATATATATATATATATATATATACACACACTTAAGTATTTTTGATAAGTACTTAGAATAATTTCATATATCTAGTGATTCATTTTGAAAATAAGTTCTCATATATTGTAGAACTTTGTGATGGTTTTGGTGCACTTAATTTTGANACACAACATATTTAAGTATTTTAATACCTAGAATAATTTCATATATCTAATGATTCATTTTGAAAATAAGTTCTCATACATTGTAGAACTTTGTGATGGTTTAGGTGCATTTAATTTTAACAAATGACCAAAGCTCCAAAATACATACAATGAACATATTTAACACTACAAAAAATTTATGAAATTATAATTCATTAATTTTTATATAATTATGGTATAGCTATTTACACAAAGAATTACGAAATTAATTGATACTTAAGTCCACGTGAAAACTAATTATGTTATAATTCTTATTAAATGTAATGGAATGATAGCTAATTAATGTGTGGATGACTAATTATATAAAATTTAAACAACTATAATCTTGTACCATATATGCGCGCACACACACACACTTAAATTCAGAGAAAAAATAATTATAAATATACAAGTTTCTAAATTTCACAAATTAAATTATACATCGAACATAAGAATTGAGAATTAATATGATAAAGATATAGGAAGAGGATCATGTTTCTCTTGGGACTATTATTTGATATTTTATAATATTTACATAATTCAATATTATTAAGTTTTACTTCAAAAAAATTTAAGATTTTAATATGGGTTATATAGCAGTGTATAACAAAACTAACAACTAGTATATCATAATTCATATTAAAAAATTATACTTGTAATTTTCGATACATTTTAATTAAGTATGTAATTAATCTTTATTAGATTTGAATAAAAAATATCAAATTTAGACCAGATATTTGTATCCATGTACACTTATCGCTAATTACACTCAATTGAAACAAATAGAAAAGTTATTTATTTAATGGTTTATTTTAATACTATTTTAATAACTTAATAACTACGTAATCTACTTAAACGCTAAAATTAAGAAGTTAATATAATTGAAATAGGAATACATAAGAAAACTAATAATATCGTATAGGATAAAAAAAGTTATAAAGAATATAATATAATATAGAATATCTTTATTTCATGCAAGTTAATATTTTTATTTTATTTAGTATAAATTATATATTTGATCTTTTGTATTTTACATAGACAATTTTCTGACTTACTTGCATATGTTAGGAGTAGTACTTACGTTTCTAAATTCTAGCATTTATGGCATTTGTAATATATTAACTAAGAAATAAAAGGAAGCATAAAGGCCAATTGGCCCAAACCAAAATTCACAAACCTAATAACATTCTCACTTTGTTTCCCTACCCTGCCGCCAACCCCATCCCCCCTTTTCCATTTCCTTCTTCAACAATGTCTCTCTTCACATGAAGAGAGCAAACCAGCTGAATCACTGGCTAGATAGCCCGATGGCTTCTCTTTTTTTTCAGGTATATTTATGTATATATATTTTAGGATTTTTAGATCCCAATACACCTATTTGATTAAAAATTTAGGATTTATATTCTAACAATTTGATAGATATTTTTGTCGTATTGTGATAGGTATTGAGTGGGACTTTAAAAATTAAAATGTAATATTGGGAGGAACCACAGTTCGTCGAAAAGACATTACAAAAATGAGATGAGAATTCTTTCAAAAGTTTTTAAAAAAGTATACAGGTTTATTTTCTTATCTTGTTGCTTTGAGTTTTTTCCTCTTATTGTATACTAAAAATTCTCGTATTAATGCGCTTTTTGGTTCACTCATTCTTTTGTGTTAATTATTATTTTTTTAAATTTATAGGGTGCATTTCAATCTATACAATGCAAGAAGATTAAGGATTCAACCTTGATGCAAAGAGTGAAAGTACTTCATCCTTAACTGCAGAAGATTATCTGGTGGCGACATCTGAAATTCCCGGATCAAATACTTAGAACTTAGTTTTCTTTTGATGTGGAAACCTTCATAATTTTATAGATTATAGATAATGGTGCATAATTTGTATTATACTCCTATTAGTTTGACAAGAATGTGACTTTAAGTTTTTTCTATTATCTAGCTGAATATTAGCTACTAGTATGTCTCTTGTACAAGAGTTACATACTTGTGGAAGTGTGTGTATTATGTACTGTAAATAGACAATTGTATATTTTAGAATTAATTTATTAAACTATTTAGATTTCAATTTGTATAAAATAAGTGATATTTAAAGTTTATTACTGTGTATTTTCTATGGTTTGATAAAAAAAATGTATGTATATGGAATATTTAAAAATTTTAATAAATTAATTTTTGATCAGTAAAAATAAAATGTATAAAAATCTATTCACCAAATAAAATATAATAAAATATTTAATCGTGGATATTTGGCGATTTATAGCCATAAAATTATGGGTTGGTAGCTAAATATAAATCTAATATGAGGGCATAGCTATGTATTTGAATTTGGTAGCTAAATAAATAACACCTTTTGCCACAGTATATCCCTTTGTATCTAAAGTATGGAAGATAGCTACAAAGCTAATTTATCGTGGCAAAAGATAAAATCATTAGCTATAAATATATATTCTTTGTGGCAAAAAGTTTTATTAATATAGCCACATCATAAAAATTCTTGTAGCAATAAGTATTAATCCTTAGCCATGAAATGTTAAAGTTTGTAGCTAACTTGTAGTTACGCTACATCTAGCTACGGATGCTACGGAAAAAATTATTGTGGCTAAAGTGTTCAGCCACGAAATTTTTCATGTTTAGCTACGACGTACTTCGTAGCTGTATATGCATAATGTTGTAGTGTATGATGGCATATAAGATGATATGGGTAAAGGAGCTACCATTCAAAATTTTCTTCTTTATGTGGAAAGTTTGGAAAGCTAAATTGCCTCTTGATGATTTTATGAAGAAATTAGGCTATCAAATGCCATCTAGATGTTGGTGTTGTGCTGAACCTAAGGAAGAATCCCTGATATATCTATTTTTCTCATCTAAAGCTGCTGAAATAGTATGGAAATTTTTCTTAACAAGAGCAGGGATTGCAGTACAGGGATTGACATTACACCAAGCCATCACTAGGTGTTGGACAGCTCCAGTTGTGCCAAGATTGAAGCCAATCATGCAGGCATTACCAGCATGTATTATTTGGGAATTATGGAAAAGGAGGAATAGTTTAAAATATGGGGATGCTGTTTCAGTTAGCAGCATAATATATCAAGTCTCAACAGCATTGCAGAAATTGGTACAGCTAAGGAAGCCAGGTTTAAAGGTTCCTCACAGGTGGGCAAATCTTCTGTACATGATGGAGCAATATTCTCCCAAGTTGAGGTATGATAAAGTAATGTGGGAGCTGCCAGAAAGTGGATGGATCAAGGTTAACACTGATGGAGCATGTAGAGGAAATCCAGGAAGAACTTCTATAGGCTTCTGCTTAAGAGATGAAGAAGGTGACCTCAAATATGCACAGGGCAAGGAGATCAAAGAGGGAACAAATAATGAAGCTGAAGCAACAGCAATTGTGGAGGCCTTAAAGAGGTGCAGAACAATGAACTATGATCAGATATGGGTACAGACTGATTCATTGCTGTTGAAAAAAATAATTGAAGGAACATGGAAGCCTCCTTGGTGCATTGTTGATCAGGTAGAAGAGATTTTTAGACTGAAGGGAGAATAAAACTTCAGAATATCACATATATTCAGGGAGGGCAACTCTCTAGCAGATCATCTAGCAAACTATGCTTTAGATGTGGGAGATATTGAATGCTATGAATTTTGGGATCTAGACTCTCAAGGTAGAAGGATTGTGAATGAGGACAAGATGCAATGCCCATATTTGAGAGTCAAGGTGGCAAGGAACTAGGAGACAAAACAGTGATTGGAGGAGAAAGGAAAACTGGAGCTAATAAGGACATCTCTCATGTTCAAATCTATATAGAGTAGAGCATGAGGGAGCACTGTTTTACTAATGCTGTGTTCTTTTCTGCAGGTTCAGCAATACTAGCTGTACTCTATAGTTTAAGGAAACCCCAGGTGGTGGTATTAGTACTAAGTACTCAGTCCATCGGGGAAAAATTAAATTTAGAGTATAGTATAGTAACTAGGAAGGTCACAGTTTCTAAGTCAAAGACTGTGGTATTCAAGGTCAAAAGGGAATCAAAAGGAAGGCTGATAAGGGTGTTACGGTTCATTAACAACATCCTAATACTTGCCAGGAATTGCAAATCAACACATAGGAGAGCAGGAAATCACAGAAGAAACATACCAGTATCAGATACAAAAAATAAGCAAGCAAAGCTATGGTGTCACTCAGACACACAGTCTGCAGACAGCGAAATTCCCACATTGAGGGAATCTTTTCTCAGCTGGATGATGCACCTGTGGAAGAAATTAACAAAATACAAGGGGGAATTCAACGCATTACATACAGGGAGTCAGGCTTACAATAAATTAAATACAAGCAAGAAAAAACAAAAGAAGGTGATGAAGGTATGGCCTCATGGCAATCTCCAGGGGCAATAAGGTGGCAAATTCGATTGAAGAGTTCACATGCAATCCAAAGGAAGCAGCACAGGGCACTATACTGATTGATGGTATCTCACACGGAGCTTGGGAATCCATGTCCTTCATAGCAAAAGCAGCAGCCAAGATGGACCATTTTCAGACACATAGGCATCTCAACAATCGCATGCAGCAGCTCAATTCAGGTAGAACTATGATGATACAAGCAAGGAACTCAGTAAATATACAAGATTGGAGAGGACAAGATAAAGAGGAAGACAAAATGAGCGTTGAAGAGAACATCTGGGGAATCGTTACTATCTATGTGAGCTACAGACATAAACAAACGGAGAATACAAATGAAAGATTAAATGCAATAAAGAGGTATATAAATGGTGCAGTACAAGACAACACGTGTATAATTGTAAGGATCAAATTGAAGTGGCTACATTTGCAATACAAGGAGGCGGAATTTTGGATTAATTGTGGCTATTCATGCAAGCCAAAGGAGACGCTGGGCAGGACTGTGAGGAAACGGAACTGGGCTACACAAATTGGGCCAATATATATGATACACTTCGACTGGGCTACTAAATTCAGGATATATGGCATACAATGGGCTAGTTTTTATTTTTCTATTTTTAGTGGTAATTATGTGATATCAATTTTGAGTACACTACTCAATTTTGGTAATAGGCTACATGTATCATGCAAGGATAATTCTTTACATCTCGTAGATCATTCACACATTTGTATTTTATTTTATTTTTATATAAATAAAAACTAGCCCTAGGCCCTGCCTAGTGGATTGCTAAAAAAATAAAAAAATAAAAAAATAAAAGAGTGTTTGAAATGCCGCTCGGCATACACAATATCAACTCTCAATCTAATGACATTTCCCAAAATTCGGAATCTCATGATCACAAGCCTTTGAGTGTATACAAGTATCTAACTCCAGAACATCTAACAAAAAAAAAAAGGAAATACAGAAGGGCTAATACTAAAGGGAATAGTAGAAAGGGACTCTTCGGTCTGCGGACGCGGCAGATATACCTCGGAGTCACTACAAGCGCCTCGCCTCAAGCGTGATAAGTCTGAGTCGCAGTACCTGAATCTGCACATGAGAAACATGCGCAGGAAGGGCATGAGTACACCACACCGGTACTCAGTAAGTCCCAAGCCTAACCTCGGTCGGGTAGTGACAAGGAAGGTCAGGGCCCTACTGAGGTTAAAGGAAATACAAGATATAATAACAATGTAGAATAAGACAGCATACTTAAGTGCAACAGTAAAAAGGTAACACAGGTTAAAAGAACAACAACAACTTTAACAGAAATAAAGAAATCACGGGAAAACCAACACAACTCAACGCAGAGATAACAACCGGGGGATCTTCCAGGATACCGTCCTGTAGTCCCCAAATATAAATATCCAATGGATCTCCTAGGTGCAGTCCCGTAGTCCAACTCATAAATGCGCGGGTATCTACCGGAATACCACATCCGTAGTCCCAAATATAAATACTCAATACTGGGGGACTCTACCGGGTGCAATCCCATAGTTCTAATATAAAAGTGTAGGGGGGATCTCCCGGAATACAAATCCGTAGTCCCAAAGTAAACATACAGGGGGATCTCCCGAGATACCGTCCCGTAGTCCTAAAGTAAATACACAGCAGCAACAAGAAGAATACTCAATTCAATCAAATTTCACACCGAGGTAAAGCAGGTATTTCTAACCTAGCATTCTGCACAAAATTCAGATAGGGCAGTAGAACAAATAAGCAGTTAAATCAATTAGACATGCTTCCCTAAGCTAACAACAGGCTTAACTTGCAAGCAGTATAAACGGAAAGGAAAACATAATTCTATGTACTTAATGGAAACCAGATTTTTCAACAATTAGCACAAGTACGCACTCTTCACCTTACGTACAAGGCATTTCAAACATCAATAATATCAAATCCTAAGGGGAGTTTTCCCCACACAAGGTTAGACAAGCCACTTACCTCGAACCGGCTCCAAATCAACCCGAAACCACGTTCTCGCCACGAGTATTCGACTCCAAATGGCCCAGATCTATTCAATTCAATTGCATATTATAAATAACACTTCAAGTAACTGATTCTACAAATAAATTCTAAGCTAATAAGCGAAATTAGGTAAAATGACCAAAATGCCCCACGAGCCCACATCTCGGAATCGGGTAAAATTTATATTTTTAGAATCCTCATACTCTCACGAGTTCATGCGTACCAAAAGTACCAAAATCGGACCACAAATGGCCCCTCAAATCCTCAAGTCTAGGTCTCCAAAACCAAGCCCTAGTTTCCCCAACTTTTAACCCTTAGATTCCATTAATTACAGCTCTAATCCATGAATTAATACCATAGAAACGAGTTTTAGGTCCAAAATCCTTACCTCAATGGAATCCCCTTGAAATCCTTCTTCAAATCGCCCAAAAAGCTCCAAGAACCGACTTAGAAATGGTGGAATAACTCAAAAATCGCGAAGGAAATAACTTATACCTTCTGGCCCAGACATTTTGCATCTGCGACCGAAATTCCGCTCCTGCGCCGCCACATTTGCGGTCCACGAACCGCTTCTGCGGTACTCACTTAAGTCCTCCACTTCCGCATATGCGACACACAACCCTCACCTGCGCAATCGCAGGTGCGGTTCCTTAACCGCATCT